TATCAATATCATGTATACCACCTAAGCTTGGGTACAAGACCTTGAACACTGTGCTATATGTGAACGTGAGAGACAACGCCACAGCATTTGTATTGACCAATCACAGTATTGTATATTTGTATCAAAGTTTTCCCGCTCAAATTAAAATTCAAATCCTCACGAGAGTATATAAGCATTCATTATATTTGATTCGGCGCTCTTTTATGTTATATTCACGTAGTAACTAGTTCTACACTGTTAAGTACGTGTCGTGTCTGACTGCTGTACATCTGCTATTATAAAAAATATTACGTCCAAATATACGACCCACACTTTCCATATCCAGATTTGCAAACTGAGGTTTCGATTCCTGAATCTTGCAGCTTTAACAACCCAAATGTGATAAAGTTATTAACTATATTCAACTCTTACAATAAGCATAGCTCCATGGAAGCAAACGGTTGACATGCAGTTAACGCATGTTTCGTTCATTACAGATGCTGGATCATCGGTCGGAGAGAACCACAGATCGAATAATGAGCGAAGAGTCGTGGCGTGAGATAACCGCTATGCTAAATGTCATGCACTCCGCCAAACAACTATTTGTGGTGATTCCTGTACCTCTCATTTTCGTGGACCACAACTATTTAAAGAGGAAGAAATTGGAGAAATTGGAAAGAAAACAAAAAAAGGGGGACCGGTTTGATTGTGTGAGTGTTCGATATCTGATATTTATTTTATTTATTTCAGTTTAAACTTTGCACACTGAAATCATACATAAAGCATTATTGGGGTTCTATATTTCCAACAAAGGTGAAACCAGTTCCCGTAATTCGTGCACATTCATATCATCATATAATAGTTCTCAATATTCTCAGATTTCAACTTTGAATATAAATTAACGTATACATATCCCTTGATGTGTTTTATACCCGACACCTGTAATAGTTTGGATGAAACAACACACACTGGTAACACTGCTATACCCATATGCAAATGTGCTGTGTACGTTAGCTCCTCATTATGCGCCCTACATGTTAGCAATAGCATAGGAAAAAACTTTTTCATATAATATTCTAAATTTATGAAAATTTAAAGTCAATATAGTTTTTGAATAATGGGAAAATTGATATTTGCAATGAGCAATATGTAAATACAGCCAAAACTACGGTGGCCCACAAGTGACAACAGATATTTAATTCATCGCGGCAAAACTCTATTATTTTACGGCATAACACTATTACTTCACAGAAAAACTTTGTTATTTGACGGCAAAACAACTATATTATTTCGCGGCAAAACACTATTACTTCACGGCAAAACTTTGTTATTTGACGGCAAAACTATATTACTTCCCGGTAAAACTCCACAATTTTCGGCAAAACTATGTTACTTCGCAATAAAACTCTATCAATTGTCGCAGCAAAACTCTCCGCGTCACGGCAAAACTCTCCATCTCCCACGGCGGAAGTTGTAATGATGTCCCATAAAACCCATTTCTTGAAGCCATTTTTCATTCAGTCAAACGCAAGACTGGTCAATGTCGACACGGTTTAACTAAATTATTTCGCGGCAAAACACTATTACTTCACGGCAAAACTTCACAATTTGACAGTGAAGGGCCAGTTAGCAAGAGCATCTGTTTATACCTCCATGGCTAGAGCATGTGGAGTAGCGCAGTATACTTCTCACAACAGAAACCACAGGGAGGCCAGTAGACTGGCGCAGTCGGGGCGATTAATTTGTTTTTGTTACTACCTTATACTAAAATATGTTTGTATATTTAGAGTACTAACAATTTTAAACTTATGGTCCGGTTAGACTTAAAATACACCACGAATATTCACTTTTGAGATATAATTTGTGGTATGTGTTGATTCTTGGACATGTTATCTTCGTCGTCCTGTACTTCGTTTAGTAATTCGAACTTCCCGGTTTACGTAAAAAGGGTGAGTTTCGCGATTTCGACATCGAAAATGCTATTGCTTCATTATTTACTGGGGGACGGCCGCTTAGGTATGTGCTCTGTAACTTGCAGCAAATGAACCTAAAAACGTTAGGTAATCAAACAAAAATTGCGTTGTACTAAAGTCCAAAAAGTACGTTCAAGGTCTTCATTTTTTCGTAGCATAAAAACGATTTACTATCTCGCTTATTGTGACACCCTCAAATCAACTGATTCTCATACCCCTCAAGAGTCAAAATGGTATGTGCTTCCATTTTTCACCGCGACTCAAAAAAAGTCTTTTTTGCTGTGTTTTGCTGTGTGCCTTCAATTGCGTTTCAGTGGCTGTCACAGTCGTATTCTGAGTCTTGCCGATAACATTTTGGTTCAAATTCACGTAGATATCGCTGAGAAAACTCAAATTTTCAACTAAAGCTAATTTGCATAACATGGTTTTTGCCATTGGTCGCCATATTGGACACCACATATTTGTTCTAAAACAACTCCTTAAAATACTTCAGTCAAGGAAAAAATATACGCATGCTTTATTGACTTTCAGAAAGCTTTCGATTCTGTTTTGCACGAAGGTCTGTTACAAAAACTAATCATGAACGGCATTACAGGTAAATTCTATAAAATAATTAAATCTATCTATCAAAACTCATTAGCTGCAGTAAAGATAAATCATAATATAACAAACACCTTCCCAATTGAGTCCAGTGTTATTTAATATCTATGTTAATGACATAAATAATCACATAAACAACTCTGGCAATGAACCACCAACTTTACTCAACAGAAATCTACCATGTCTGATGTTTGCAGATGATCTTCTACTTCTCTCAGAGACCAAACCAGGCTTAAAAAATGCCATTCAGTCTATGGAAGTATACTGCCGAAAATGGAAATTAGACATTAATATCAGTAAATCCAAAATTATGATCTTCAATAAGTCTGGGAAAAAACTTAACAAATGTGACTTCATTCTTAATGGGGCAGAGCTGGAAATAACATCCTCTTATACATATTTGGGAATGAAATTAAACACAACAGGCAAACTTGATAAAGCACAAGAAGATTTTATTAGACGGAGAAAAACAATCTTCCAAATAGTTGCCTAGACATGGGTACCTAACTTAGACTTTATTGGACATTATATTATTACATTATTATGTAACTATTGGAACAGTTTGAGGCCTCACTGATCACTGCGTGTCCCAGAATCTATTGGGTCGCTATCGCCGATGTAAAAAGTCTCTCACCGTTTTCGTCGCCGGCGGGATTCACGTCCCAAATTTTGGTTCCCGGTTACCTCTAATAAACAACCTATCTAACAGCTTGGTTGAATTGATGATAAGTAAACAATCATGGTAGGTTGCCCCCGACCTTCTCTCGATCGGAAACGCAAGGGAGATAAGACTCGATTTCCATAGACGCTGGTCGTTTAGATCGGACAGTTACTTTTACAATAATGTTCACGTCGCTGTACGTCAAATCACACTCTCGAACTTGACAACATTCACTTACGGACTACTAAGCAAATAGGTGGAAATACCAGTTACATCACTCGTGAAGATTGATGATTCGATTGCTGACCGGGATAGCTGCAATAGAGATCATTTCTATGCAATGTAAAATCATATCGATCCTGTGGGCGGCGAAGGCTGACTATTCTGACGTGTTCTGGGCTGTATATAACAGTCAGACACTGACAAGTAAGTAGGTTGGTACTAGTAAACAGCCCGAGACATAGTCATTATAGGGGTCTGAGTCAGTTAAGCCCTGAAAATAGCGTCATCGCGCAGTATTCCATTAATGAACGGAGTTCACATAGCAGTCTTATGCTTACAAATAATCCCATAATTATTGACAAGTTGTTACTATCTTATACTAAACAGATTGTTGGTATGTGTTGGTTCATGGATATTTCAGCTTCGTCGTCCTGTACTTCATTTAGTAATTTGAACTTCCCAGATTGTGTAATATAAAAAAGATTTCGATATAAAAACCGTTTTGGTTTCATTATTTGCCGAGGGATGGCCGCTCAGGTACGTGCTCTGTAACTTGCAGCACATGAACCTGAAAACGTTAGATAATAAAATTCACAGGAAGTTGACAATCCCTAATATTGCTAAATCGTCAGTTGTGAACTTTATCAGGATTCCCGTATAAAGTTACACATCATTCTAGTATCACGGGGGAAATTCTTCTACTCTCGGGTTCTCCACACTTGTCAGGGGGGAATCTCGTCTCGTCTCTATATCTTGTCCCCTTGAGGTATGGGATCGGGAAAGTCACTTATACTTTACAGTCAAATAAGACACACACAACGAAATACGTTTCAACTCTCGTCTTAGTCGGTCAATCGAGCACTCTATAAGACACAGCGCCCTGGGGAAAAAAATCCCCAAGACTATCGCAAGGCTGACCCAAGACTCTCTTAGACTGCGTCAACACTCGCCCCAAGGCTCTCCAGGACTGCATCTGGACTGCGTCTATCGTGCTGTGCTCCCCAAGACCAACTCAAACTCTCTTTATTCATTTTCAAAACTCTAACCAATTACAAAACAGTAAAAAGACTCTAGGGCGTAACCTTCAATCATAAAGCCAATCACACTAAGTACTGAATACGTCATATCTTTTGATTAATCGTTCACTACATTAATAACTATGAATATAAACTGTCAGAATGAGTAGTCTGAATAGCGGCGGTTATCTGGTAATTAGTTCCAAATCACTGAGCCAAGTTCCGTCCAAAACTTCAAATAGGCCTAAACGATGACAGACATAACACAGCAATTCAGCTAATAATCAGCTAATTAAGTCGGTCAACAGATACACAAAAACAAATTCATGACACTAGCAAGGAAAAATATTGATTACTTTTGTGCAGGTTATATAATAAAATATGAAATAATTAATATTTCATTTTGTAAGTATATCTTTATGTATTAAAATATGTACACATCATATCTAATATGGGCTGGTGTTGCCATGTTTATAAAATTATAAACAAATATTTTCGTAAATAACACTGACCGCGAAATACGGCTTTGAGAAGTATTACTGATGGAATATTTTATATTGCAATTTCTTTCAATTTCAATTAATGACAATATAACTATGTATTTAGCGTATATTAATTTGATTGTATTGCAATGCATTAGTAATACTGTAAATATATGTAAATACATTCTTTTATTTAATTGTTGAGACTCGCGAAATGGAGGTGTTAGCGCGAAATCTTCCCGACTGGTTTACTCTGCATGGCCCTCTATCGACACTGCAGGAACCCGTCGATATTTCAACGGGTAATCATGTTAATTACCCGTTGAAAATTGACAATCATCTAAGCCAATCACAACGTCTCTTCAACTGCCCTCTGATCGAGAAGACGTCGGCTGATTCTAGCAGCCGATTTTTTTTTAAATCTACGACTAGTACGACTTACTTTTTAAGTCTATTTACGATGACTACGACAAACTCGAATTTCAATGTGCCGCCATGCTGAATCTGCACCTTTACCATGTTGACCTCATTATGCACGTGTTTCTGCGCCCACCTCATTATAATATGTGCATTCGTGAATATTAATAGGAATGGATTTCCTCTGCAGAATAAACCAGTTGGGGGTGATTTCGCGGTAACACCTCCATTTAAATTAAAACAACACATTAATCGTTCGAATGCGCCAGTCTAGGAGACCAGGAATATGGCAACCGAGGTGGCTCACAACATGGCATTTTATAAAACCATTTTAACAATTCGTTTACGTTTTACAATTCACTTTTTTTTCATAATCCCATTTTTAATAACCATTTTCGGTCCTGAAATCGATATTTAAAACTCACTTTCGTTTCTGAGGTCTGTTTTTATTTTTAAAAACAATTGTTTAGATCCATATTTGTTTTTAAATCCGTTTCATTTTTAAAATCCATTTTTGTTTTTAAAATTCGTTTTCAGTTTTTTTTAATCCGTTTTCTTTTTTAAATTCTGTTTTCATTTTTAAAATCCATTTTTGTTTTTGTTGATATTCGAATTATAGGTATATATGTATTTTTCACTTTAAGGAAAAATTTTCATCAGAATTCACTAAAAAATATGTTGTCACTTGTGGGCCACCGTACACAACAAAAGTCAGCTTGGACTTTCAGTTGTGAGACATGACAAAACGAACGCAGCCAGTGATATATTTCGAAAATAATAATACAAAATAAACGCAATCAAAGGCGCCGACTACGAGCGTTGGAAATAAATAGAACACTTAGTGACACGGTCTCATCAGCCTCTTTCACTCACGCAATATAATTATGCTATTTCCTTATATTTAATACATTGACGAAGAAAAAACGCCGCTAGAACGACGTGCAAACAAGGAAAATTAGCGATAGCGAAGTTAAATATATACAGCTGCTGAAAACAAAGACTCCTTCGTTCTTATATGAGCATATTCACGTGGATGATGTATCATTTTTTTCAACTATTAACAACAACACTACAACAAAGATTTTCCGTTTTCGACATTGTGAAATTATAATCAAAAAGTAAAATCATATTTATTAAAGTTATTTTTCATACATGGGTTGTCGAGAACACTACATAGTTTGTAATTTCATCCAGCTCCTTTCAGTCATGATTCAGGGCAAATAAAAGGCACAAATATAGAGAGTATAGCAAATTATTCTTTTTTTTCTGTAATATTCTTGTGTTAGCAGTAATTATGAAAATGATTATTGGTGCATGGGGAATACATTTCGTTATGAATTATTCTTAAAGCTCGGTGGTCGTCGTGCAGCGCGTGTTGGAATTTCATGTAAATAAACAATGTATTTTACATGCGTTGTATACGTCGCTCTGAGTCCCATATCGAACAGGACGCGGCGCGACGACTGCCGCCCTTTAATATAAATTAATCAGTCTTTTTCTGGTTTGGCACAAAAAATATACGAAATTAACACGTGTGTGTGCGCTTGCGTGAGTGAAAGAGGCTGGTGAGACTCCTCGTTGTAATGTGTTCTGTTTATTTCCAACGCTCGTGATCGGCGCCTTTGATTGCGTTTATTTTTTTTATTCTCGTAATTTATCCCTGGCAGCGTTTGTTTTGTCACGTCTCGCAACTGAAAATCCAAGCTGACTTTGTTTTGGCTGTTTTACTTCAGATTTATTTCTTGTTTTTGTATTAACTGATACATCAAAGTTATACCTAACATTCCTAGTCTCGGCAGTTTTTTCTTTTATTTCTGATGTTATTAATATTTTACACTAAATATAATTCAATTCAAATAATATGGGCTTGATGATTACTAAGCAGGTTATCCAGTTTGTTTTATTTAATTACGGTGACTTTAATTTTCTATTCATTTTATTCATTCATTGTGGAAAACATATTTTTCGACAACTGCTATTATGGCTGCTTTGATATTTGTACTGACCTTCTATATCTTCTATAAATGGTAAATGGACTTATAATATGTAATCGTTTCGAGCAATGGCTCTTTATCGCTAGTATAATTATGAATACAAGTGTTGAAAGGGTTGTAGTCGTCGCGCCACGTATGAAGATCAACGAGTATAAACTGAGACGTTACCAAGATTTAATCAGGTTTCTTAAGGTGATTGGAATGAATCGAAAGAGTTACCGGCGGTAATTAGTGCAAGTCACGACCAGGTCCTATATTTGTGATTTCCATTAGAAGAGCGCATTGGATTGTGGGAAAATAGTTATCAACACAAATGTCGCACATGCGCAGCGCGACGACTTCCGCCCTTTAAATAATTTGGAATAATCTCAGATAATGCTGTTAATTTCTAAATTCTGTGATTGAATGAATAACACAAAAAGTATTTAGAAAAAATTCTGTTGTTTTAATTGTTAAATATTGTATATATATGTAAATGGGTAAGATTAGTTAACAAATTTATTATTAAAAATATTTCTATGAACAATTACATTAATGTCATTGAAACGGTTGGGCTCATAATGAAATCCTTTGTGTCTTTTATTGAATTACGCCTGCAATTATTTGAAAATTATTTGCTTGTTAGGGCCTGTGTGCGCAGCAGGTACATGGTAGCGCCGGTAAGCGCAACATGTATTTGGTAGGGCCCGTTTGCACAGCTTGTGCATTGTAGGGCCGGTATGAGCAGAATGCAGGTACATACTAGGGCCGGTGTGTGCAGAATGCAGGTACATGGTAGGGCCGGTGTGCGCAGAATGCAGGTACATACTAGGGCCGGTGTGCGCAGAATGCAGGTACATGGTAGGGCCGGTATGCTCAGAATGCAGGTACATACTTGGGCCGGTGTGCGCAGAATGCAGGTACATGGTAGGGCCAGTATGCGCAGAATGCAGGTGCATGGTAGGGCCAGTGTGCACAGCATGCAGGTACATAGTAGGGCCGGTGTGCGCAGAATGCAGGTACATACTAAGGCCGGTGTGCGCAGAATGCAGGTACATGGTAGGGCCGGTGTGCGCAGAATGCAGGTACATCTAGGGCCGGTGTTCGCAGAATGCAGGTACATGATAGGGCCGGTGTGCGCAGAATGCAGGTACATACTAGAGCCGGTGTGCGCAGAATGCAGGTACATGGTAGGGCCGGTGTGTGCAGCATGCAGGTACATAGTAGGGCAGCTGTGCGCAGAATGCATGTACATGGTAAGATCGGTGTGCACAGCATGCAGGTACATAGTAGGGCCGCTGTGCGCAGAATGCAGGTACATCTAGGGCCGGTGTGTGCAGAATGCAGGTACATGATAGGGCCGGTGTGCGCAGAATGCAGGTACATACTAGAGCCGGTGTGCGCAGAATGCAGGTACATGGTAGGGCCGGTGTGTGCAGCATGCAGGTACATAGTAGGGCAGCTGTGCGCAGAATGCATGTACATGGTAGGATCGGTGTGCACAGCATGCAGGTACATAGTAGGGCCGCTGTGCGCAGAATGCAGGTACATACTAGTGCCGGTGTGTGCAGCATGCAGGTACATGATAGGGCCGGTACATGCCGGTAAGCGCAATATGTATTCGGTAGGGCCCGTTTGCGCAGCTTGTGCATGGTAGGGCTGCTGAGCGCGGGATATGCATGCTATACAGTCGATGTGCGCAGCATTTACTTGGCAGTGCCGGTGTGCGCAGGATTAGCACGATAGGTTAATGAATGGATGAATTAACACCCACACTACGGTGGCCCATATATACAATCGGCGAAGAATGACCAAATTTCGGCGATCAATAACGCATTGCGACGATCAATAACCAATTACGACGATCAATAACGTATTGCGGCGATCAATTACGCATTGCGACTATCAATAACGCACTGCGGCGATCAATGACGCATCGCGATGACCAATAACGCATTGCGACGACCAATGACGCATTGCGACGACCAATAACGCATTGCGACGACCAATGACGCATTGAGACGACCAATGACCAACTTCAGCGATTTATTTTAAAGGATGGACCCACAATGCTTTGCACACTTCAATGGCGTCCGCCATGTAGTCAACTCCGTTCGTCCACGAACTACAGCTTGTGTAAGTATTCGTTGTATAAATAAATCCAAAAAGCTAGAATCCATTGCTATGGCAAGCCAAGTGTTGCAATATTATTAAAAACATTTTTTTTAAATCCATATTTTATTCCACAAAACGCGATTTACATTTGTAAAATCCATATTTCATTCCATAAAACGCAATTTATGTTTGTAAATTCTATTTTACATTTCATAAAATATTATTTTATTCTCTAAAATTCGTATTTGATTTCATCAAACGTATTTGATTTCATCAAACGTAT